AAATTATAACCCTCACTCTCTGAGGTGAACGTACTAAATTTCTTCTCCGAATTTACCCCCCAAATTAAGAATGTGTTTCACAATTATTTTTAACTCTTAAATTGTACGATTTAATGTCGTCACTGCGGCGTTTTGGGGGCTTTCCATCCTGCCCCATTCTTGCTTATCTTACTCTTTAACCCTGAAGATTGAACAGACTTTTTCCCCTAAAACATCGGGCTATACTTCTTATATCGCAGAAGATAAAATTTTGATAACTGTTAAATTCACTATGGAATATACGATACATAATTTTGTGATGAGTTGTCAGTATCTTACTACATAATAATGTCACGTGTATCAGTGACTAAAGACGGAGTTCGAATTGGTAATTGGAATTATTGACCACTTACAGATAGTAACTACATTTAATTATAACGCTTTCAAATTTACTGTAATTAAAACATATAAATAAAATCTCCTATATCTGCTTACACTAGTCGTTGCTATGTAACAGATCGAAACAATGGCTGTTCCTCTGCAAAATTTTCCCTATCGTTTTCCTAGCAACGAATTTTAAACAGTACCTACACGTATAACTGTCACACGCCAGACATCACTGCACTGCAGCACACATAATGTCTTCAAATCAGGATTGTAAACGGTATGACTAAAGGGAAACAAAGGTGGACATTTTGTCTGAGAACAGCAAAAACGAATAACCAAAGTCAGTTATAGAGATCTTAAGGCTAGAAGAAAGAAGATTTCTGCAAGGCGTCTGTTACTTCATAAACAACATTCCTATAGATATATAAAACAGATATGTAAGAAAAGTAAAAGCTGTAATTGTACTGATTATTAACAGGATACTCTCAGATTTAAGTTAAGCTTTATATTAAGAATCGCGGGGTGATCGCTGTGATAGAAAAAGATGTATATAAGAATGTACCACAGAAGGCCGATGGTAATTGCCTAGGCCTTTATTGTATTTACAATAATTTTCCCACAATAAAGAAAGCCTTCATATCACACGTTAAGTCTTCACAGGCCGACTTCTAATCCTTCTTAAACTACGAACTTCCTGAGGCTATCTCCTACCGAGAACTGACTGATTCGTAGCGGCGATTGTCTTCAAGAAAACTCCTCTGCACGGACCCCACGGAAAACACTGTCTTCTTTTGTTAAGGTTTTGTGTTTACAGCATCCTTGCCTGGTAGTAGACATCCTATTGTTCCGTGCGGTTTCTTGGCGCGGACCACACAGTTCCCCCTATATTTCTGTCACGTTCTTAAGGAGGAGTGTTTACCGGTCCTCACATATAAACGGCAGTTCTATTATTGTCTGCATTCTTTGCCGTGAGAATGTTTACGGACATTCGTCTATTATAGAAGCAGCCCTTGTGTCACAATAAGAGACGTTATCAAACTGAGTGAGTTTACCCGATTACTCTTTCAAACTTATGAACTTTCCTAAGCATTTCGATAACTTACTTACTTCAGAAAGTCTCTGTTCCTACAGTAAGTTGAAGTTGATGAGGCTCCTCAACAAAGTCCACTTTACCTAAAGCAGATATTCGTTGTCCATAGCCTTCTTCTTTATATTAGGGACCTCCGCGTTTCTTTTCCACTCCGCGGATCAGCACCGTTAAAATGTCTCTTTTCGCGGTTTTCCTCTAGACAAAGTGAACTTAAGTACACCATAGCGGTTTTCTTCCACGTCATCTGTCTTTCGAAATGCAGAATGTTGGTTTCCTTATCTATATATTGTGTCATACAGACCCGTTGCTAAGCAACGATCACGAAACAAGCAACGAGACAACGGCTTTTGCTAGGCAACTACGCGCGTACAACGATGAAAGTACTGTTGGAAACCGTGTTTTCTGTATAGTGAGCTCCGAGGCTATATCATTCGACCGACCGAGTTCAGTTCAGGCAGTTAGTTCAGCGCAGTGAAGTTGAGCGAGTTGGTTTGTGAGTAAGTTAGTCTACGGACTGCTACTGTTCAGTCCTTGTGAGCTGTTGCTGTTAGAAGCTGGTGGCTGAGGCATGGAGATAATTCGGGAACCCAGACTAAGGGGAACCCGTTACAAGGCACAGTAGGCTGAAAAGGCATAATACCTGCTGTAGTGAACTGGTGAGTGTGTGAATTAGCGATAGCTAAAATAAAACACAGCACACAGAAGTTCACAAACACTACACCAAATGATACAATACAAATACATTTACAACTACAACTATAAGTAAACACAGGGAGAACTAAATCTACCTACTGATGTCTCGTCGCCAGAATGCAGGATGAAGTCGTAACAGATCTTTTGAAAATACGGCCAAGTTCAAGAACATTCAAGAACACTCAGGACAGCCACACATAGAACCAAAAATAAACTAACTAAATATAATGCAAACACGTGCATAGCAATTGTTCAAGGACACCCAAATAAAGAAGCTGATTAATCCACATATCTTAGAATCCGAGGTAACTGCATAAGAATAGCAGAACAGCATCAGATTCCTTCATCTCAGCAACCTGTACAGCTGAAGATGGCCACTTACACGAAACATGCATTGACAGTAAAGTGGAAACGATTAGAGAATATTAAACGACGTTGCACATAAACGGCAATGAAAGCGAAAAACAAAGTTTATGATTTTATTAAATAAGAATTTCACTTCTGCAGAAGGTTCGAGCATATTAAATTCGGGAAATGCTTGCTACCTTTCAATTTAGGATCTATTTTCCTCTTTCTGCTAAGAACATGAAGACTGCAAGGAACGCAGATTAGCAGAATTCTGGAACAAGGCTCTGAGGAGAATATTTGGAAGCAAGAGGATGTTCTAAAACACTGCATAATGAGGAACTTCGTAATTTTTACCCTTCTTAAGATATTATTAGAATGATAAAATCAAGGAGGGTGAGATGGACAAGACTGTAGCACGTGTTTGAGATAAGATAAATTCACAGAATATTTTGGTCAGGAAACCTGAAGGAAAGAACTCACTTGAATAACCTAGACGTAAAGGTAAGGATAATATTTACATAGGTCTAAATAAAAGATTGTTTAGGTTGGATTTTCGTTGGAGAACAGTAGATGGCTGTCGTGAATATCGTAGAGACCTATTTTTATTTTCCAGTAGAGTTCATAAAATTTATGTAGAACCAAAAGACTATTAGCTTCTAAGGTGTCATATCTGTAGACAATAAGACGCGGAAGCATACCGAGTATTTATTCTCAGAATTCCTCTAATCATTAGGAAGGCAAAGATATTTACCAGGTGCTTATTATTATTATTATTATTATTATTATTATTATTAGAGGGGGTGGGTTTCCCCATGCACTTAGACTAGTTATTTGTCCATTGTGCGTTCCATTTAATTTCTACTGTCCTCATACCCTACCGGTACTGGTGCGTGCTATCAGCCCCGTTCAGCCAACGAGGTCGGCCGTCCGTACCTGATATTTCCCCCATTTACCAGAGGCGCTGGAAACTACTTGGGCGGGAAATTGTTGCCTAATTTCGCTCAGAGGTCTCCTAGAGACATGAGGATCTTTTACGTGCCGTAAATCTACAACACGGGACCCACGGCTTAAAGTCCCTCCCGGAGGACTTGTTCCCTGAATTATTCCGCCCTTAAAAATTCCACGACCTCCGCCGGGTTTGAACCCGCGTACCTTGAGTCATGAGGCGGGAACGTTACCCCTAGACTACGGAGGCCGCTTTCCAGGCGCTTGCTTAGACACTAACATGTAATGTAAAACGAATACAGTAGTGTTGATTTCTGTCGAATCGTGGATATGTTCCAAATTTCCTGTAGAAACAACTCGAAGAACTGTACTGGGTAAAGGTGGTAGGGTCTTCTCCGTGGTGCACTGTCGCTGATTGTCTGAGGAACGTTGGCAATAACAACCGCCTTCAACAAAGTTGGAGTTAGGTTGGTGATAACGGGGTTGTACCTCGTTCAGACAAATGGGGCAGATAATCACTTTTCTTTAGAAACTCCCACTAAATCAATGGCAGGGATAACGACCATTGCGCCTTGCAGAGTGCAGCACTCTACACACAAACATTACAGCAGTCTTAAAGCTTTCAAGCTTGCATTTCATATAAGAATTTTGTTACAACTTCACAGATAACTCACTAGGTGTGTATTGAATAGACCTGCCTGAAAATGCTATTTAAGTGAATAAACATAATTGAAGATATGAGATTACTTTGTGCAATGAATTTGCAACTGCGAATCAACGCCACGATTTATGTGACCAAGCGAACTTTAGGTAAAGGTATTCAGATGATGAATATGGTGACGATTAATTAATCGGTTTAAATTCGTGCCAGATGATCTATTTATCATTTCTGTATAGTATGTAAGTTTGGAGGAAACCTCACATCAGCTGATAGAAGGAGATTGATTGTTTCTACCGATGGGATGGATCCACAGCGCTTTATACCAGCTGAAAGAGAGATCTTATGTATTCCTTCAGGTACAGTGAATCCACAGCACTTCAGCTGATAAAGAGAGCTTGTTTGTTCTTTCAGGTACAGTGAATCCACAGCACTTCAGCTGATAAAGAGAGCTTGTTTGTTCTTTCAGGTAGAGTGAATCCACAGCACTTCAGTTGAAAGAGAGAGCTTGTTTGTTCCTTCAGGTAGAGTGAATTCACAGCACTTCAGTTGATGTAGCTTGTTTGTTCCTTCAGGTGGAGTGAATCCACAGCACCTCAGCTGAAAGAGAGAGCTTGTTTGTTCCTTCAGGTAGACTGAATCCACAGTTCTTCAGTTGAAAGAGGGAGCTTGTTTGCTCCTTCAGGTTGAGTGAATCCACAGTACTTCAGCTGATGGAGCTTGTTTGTTCCTTCAGGTTGAGTGAATCCACAGCACTTCAGCTGATAGAGCTTGTTTGTTCCTTCAGGTAGAGTGAATCCACAGTACTTCACATCTTCAGAAGCAGAATGTTTGTTTGTTGCCGAAAAGAACTTGGATTACTTTACATCAGTTGATAATGGACTTTTTTTATCTCGACAGGTAGCGTGGATCCATATAGATCGACAAATGATCCTAACGATACATCGCCACGTGATCGCACGCGTGCCACGTTTCAGCGTGTCTCATGACAACCAAAAGACATGGTTGCTACACGTGAGTGGTGTCCATCAGGAGGACCGCGGGTATTACATGTGTCAAGTGAACACCAACCCCATGATCAGCCAAGTGGGATACCTCCAGGTCGTAGGTGAGTCCACGGTCCATTTCTGTGTATTACTAATTTTGGATGGAACTAAAAAGTATATGTAATCATAGTAGTAGTAGTAGTAGTAGTAGTAGTAGTAGTAGTAGTAGTAGTAGTAGTAGTTGTGGTGGTGGTAGCAGCATCAGTAGTAGTAGTAGTAGCAGCAGCAGCAGTGGTTATTATTTTAGTAGTAGTACTGGCGGTAGTTGTAGTGGTAGTGGTGGTGGTAGTAGTAGTAGTAGTAGTAGTAGTAATAATGTCAAGAAGGAAAATAATAAATATATCTTCTTGTGAAGAAATTATGTTAGAAAATTAAAAGGTTGATATAGCTTTCCTGAAATCCATATATATTCAGCTTCACAAAATCAGAGTGTTTAATCTTGTCCAGGTAGAATACTAACACGTCACAACCCCTTATTTATACTCGTATTTCTCAGTCCAATATAAATTTGATTGCCAGGATGGATTTTATTTTCTTCAGGTCCACAAATATTTTCACAATATATTGTTAACAATTTTATTGAACCTATGGATACAATTACTATAAAAAGCAATCTCTAACATTCTCTTCCATGCTGACGCACACTACGAGACACAGAAATTGATTCTGGGAAGTCGAAGCCCCCACGAGGTTTGTTTCAAATATAATACTCTCATGTAGGTAACACGTGAACATTAGGTTGAAACATGACAGTCATTCCTGAACTACATAGAGTTACATACAGACAGAAACTTGGAGTTCCAAACCTTTACAGTAAATTATTTCTCATGCTTTTGATACTTTATAGCTGTAATCTAAAATTTCTGTCTGACAATTACACTAAAATTAATGCTGTTAATTATTCGTTAGAATATTCTTGGAATGTATGTCAGACAGTGAGTACGAAAGGATTTGGTCCTGCTGGTAAGTATCATTGACGTTTTGTTCGAACAAGGATCTTATCCCTGTAGACACGATGACATTCTAATTCGCCGGAGATCGTAACAAATTTAATATCACTTAATGAAACCATTTCAAGGTCATTAATAGTAGAGACTAGGAATATCATCACTCGGAGTAAAGCAAATATTTATCATGTACTTCAGAACAAGCTAGAACAGGAACTGTAATAAACTCGCCTCCAAAGTTATTGTTAGCTCCAAGTTCGTATATACAGTTTCTCTTACTTAACCCGCGGTGCAGCTGTGATTTATACGCTCAGAAACTCAAACTTCCAGCGTCAATACATCATTCCCAACTAAGTTTCTAGTTTCCTTGACAACGAACGCAGTGTCATGAGATTCTCAACACAACCCTTTAAGAGTATTCGGTCGCGTTCAAATACCACGGTTGTGGCGGTGGGTGGGGGTCTCAAACTGGTTACGGAGAAGCAAAGTTAGGCACAGGCATTAGCGTAGCTTACTCTATTAAAATCGCCTTGCAGATATTTGGTACGAAGGATGGTGACCCCCGTCTCTGTCACCACTTCTACGTGTGGAATTGGTCTTTCTCTTCGCTTATCAGAAGCGAAGGCCGTCTTCAAACGCATGCTCAAACTTCAAATAGAAACGGCCTGAAATTATTCATTTCGGGTCTTTTTTTGTTGTTAGTGGGGTGGGACTAAGTCCCTTGTACTACGGCCACTTCTGGCCAGATGTTAGGTGAGGGTGATTGTGGAGCAATTGGTGGAATGAAGATTGGCAAGGGAAACAGAAGTACTCAGAGAAAACCTACCCCAGCGCCACTTTATCCACCACAAATCCCACTTGACCAGACCCGGGATCGAACCCGAGCCGCCGCGATGGGAAGCCAGCGACTAACCGCTTGAGCTATGGCGCGGCCTCATTTCGGGTCGTAGTGTATTGTGTGTATGTTTCTGTGAATATTATGGCTACGATATCCTTCTGAACATTCAAATTGACGTACTGATGACGACATTACGACACAACCAGGTTCAACCGGTGCTATGGGGATACAAATTGTAAAACATACATCACTCGCACTAAGGCCGCATTCGGCAGAAGAATTTACAATGGATAGGTTAATATCCGCTCTCCGATATTTGTTGGGAGAGTAATAAAATGTTTCATATATTGTCACGCTTTCAAGGGTGTGTGACTCTAGACGGGGTATGGCTTTGATATTGCATTTATTGGCACCAATCGGAACGACAGATAATTACGGCGCATTCGTTGATTTCCACACTCTACAAATCTAAACAACACTCTCTAAGCCTTTTCTAGCCTACTGTATCTTCACCAGCTGTTCCCTGGTAACGGCTTCCAACAGTAGAGATTCTTCAGCTTCCTGCGCTCATGTCCTTCCTTCGCCAACTGTCGTTCAGAACTGCCGGCCAGTTATGCCCCCAACTGAACTATTGAAGTGAACTGAAGTATTGTACGGGGGTTTGAAGGTTCGTGCGACACTATAAGCGGAGCAACAGAAAGAAAAGTAAAGAAAAGAAGTTAAGATTCCCAGAGTTTATCGTGGCACTGTTAATTGGACAAGGTAAATAAAGAATTAGCACATCATGGAATAAAAGTGAAGAGTCCTAGTATCTAGTATATGACGCCGTGTAGTGTGGTGGAATTTTGCTGACGTTTCGGCGGAAATTTCTTAGTAGAGCTTACTTCTCGCTTCCTTGCCTGACCAATTTTTCGGCCCCTGAATATACAGTCAGCATATTCATACGAAGAGTTGGTAAATTTCTACCAGACTACACGACTTCACATAACAGAATCTGTTACTGTCCATACTCGCTGGAGAAGGAGCTTCACTTCCAGCAAGTATAAAAATCTTGCAAAAGTCATTTAGGGCAAATGAAATTTTGGAGAATTGTCAGAGGATTTACAGATTTAGATAAAATTAAAAGTGAAAAGCATGAGAAATATATTTTTCTGCGAGTGATAAAATACACGACAGAGCGAAGAACATAGTTAATTCACCTCAATTAAATTTTTACACAATTCCAAACATACGTTCATGTAGAAATCAAAAATAAATCGATAAATAGAAAAGGAATTTAAAGTCAGAAAAAAAGGAGGAGGAGAAGAAGAAGAAATGAAAAACAATTACGAATATGGTTCTCCTTGCGTTAAAATAACTTGCACAATTATGTAAAATTGCTTATTGAAACTGCGAACATAGTTCCTAAATAACGTGGAAAAATGAACTAAATATTCCTCAAACATATTACAATAAACTATATGTGTTATCGTCATCCGTTGACTTGATTTTATATTCAGTTAAAATATATGTAGGTTTTTAAACTTAATTTAGGTAACTGGTTAGATTCCCCATGAGTTCATTGCATTTTTCAATTGACCTAACTCTTCCAGCAGCATTTTGGGCCATGTGTCGACTCACCCTCTAACAGAAATGAGTACCAGGAATCTTCCTGAAAGTAAAGAGTGGTCGGCCAGTTAGGCTGATAACCTAACCGCCATCTGTGACCTGATTTTCTAGAAAATGTAAGAACCTCGATGTCTCACAAACCTATGACTTTCCACGGTCTGTTACAGGGACAGCGTTACCTTTTCTTTTTTAATAAAATGATAGACTCAGAACACGATGTGTCATAGACAGCAGCAACATTGCTCACAGGCTTGAAATGTGCGTGCTACCAAATCATTACGCAACACCCTCGGGACATGACGATGGCCTCGCCAATCTATCAGTGGAGACACCGAGGAAAGCGTTGACTAATTGCAGCGTTCGATTGGCTGGGAACCATTCCAGGTGAAACCAATTGCAGCAGAATTCCGTCAGAAAATTCAATACCCCTTATGCCATATGTCTCCTCTCGTAATTTTAAACAGAATAACAGAAAGTAATTTCAATATACTCGTAAGGCCATTAAACAAGTTACAGTTTTTTTTTTTTTTCATTTCAGTACCGTGTTGTTTTGCCATTACAACATACAGTGTAACGTAAGGGATGGTTCTATTCATATTTCATGTAACTACACTAATGTTGTCAGGTTAAATACTTCATGTACAACAAAAGTAAGACGTATTTTTCAGTATAAAGCAAAAAAGAATTACTTGCAGTATGCTTAATAATGATTTTTACTTTACATACCCTTCACACAAAAAGAAGATGGCGACTTTTTCTTCTGAAACTTTGAATAAATTTTACCTGACTACAAGACATTACATTAGGATATATCTCTACAAATTTACTCCTTTCAAGTCCTCGCTGACTTTCTTTGTGTTCGTAATATGAAATACAAAGGAATTACAATATTAAGATACAAATTTTCTTATTTTAAAGACTGAATGTTGTGTTCAATTTTATCATAAAGTTATTCACACTTATAAATAAATTTCAATTTGTTTGTACTTAATTCGTAAAAAATAAATACATTGTTATGAAAATTAACACCCACCACTTACGTTGTTGCGCAGCTTAACCTAACATTGTGTACATTTCACAATGTTACATTGACAGAATTCCTCTTAGTTAGTTCACGTCTGTGTTTTGTTTTGTCTTCATTCAGAGAGTAACATTTTGTGAATCTTAAATATATATATCCCATTCTACACTTTCTACTCGTTCCTACATACTGATACATTGTTAAAACACTTCATGCTTTGTTGCTTACATTCAGTAACTAAAAGACGCCAAATGAGGAATATTATCACGATTTTATGGAGTGACTATTGAAAGGATTTGGACTGGTAATTGGATTTATTGAACACTTACAGACCGTAACTACAAATAACTATAGCACTATCGCTAATTCACACACTCTACAGTTCACTACAGCACGTACTAAGTCTTTTCACTCTGCTCTGTCTACATTATTCGTTGTCTGATAACGGCTTCTAACGCCGTGGATCCCTCAACTTCCGTGTTCACGGCTTCACGTCCTAGCTGGCTGTCGCCTATCTCACCGCAGCTCCCGAGGTGAACTAACGGGCTTTAAACTGCCGAAATCTTAACTACGTCATTCTCCAACCGCCCTCTCTCCGCTCCACTCATTTCTTATGTAGCCTCAGGGCGGACCGCATATATAACGCCTCTGCCAGCAGTTATAATGTTGCATATCATTGTTATAGCTCGGACCGCGTAGAGAACACTATGCTTCTGTTGCTATTCACGGCAATTACCTAGCAATGGCCTTTGTTTAGAGAGTCATTACTTAGCAACAGGTCTGCTTTCTAAAATATGCAGAAACAATACTGAACACAGACCTTAGAATCGAAACAGTTTCATAAGACTAATGCATGTATATGATAACGATTATGAGGTCACTTTTTAATTGGTTGCTCTTTAAAATATGCCGTCTACAACATTTTCACATTTCGTTTCATCTCCTAATGATGAGGACACAGGACAGCAGAGTGGCTTACCAGTTGGCTTCAAGTTAATTGTAGTAAAGGAATTGAAGGGTTTGCTGTGTTCTGTGTTAAATTTCCGTGTGGTTCGAAGATAATCTGACGTGTCGGAAGAATATATAACCTCCATCTTCAGGGTCGAAGTAAAAACCAAACAAGAAACCAGAAAAAGCGGTTGGAAGTCTCGGCTTTCTGATCAAGAGATATGTTGAAGCGTGGAGTCTTCTGGCACATGGCACCTTGTCGCCTCCTGAAGACGGAGGCGATATGTTCCTCCGAAACCTCGGTTCATACAAGATCTACACGGCGCCACATCCAAGAAGACGGCATTCTTCATACTCACCGCCGTGAAAAGCATGAATTTTGCAAAACATATATTCCTCCGAAACGTTGGGTTTTCTCCGAACTACAAGGCGTTACTATACGGCGCTGTCGTGAGAACTTCAAATCACAGTGAAATATTTACCTGTATGGATACACAATTGGTTGATACATTTAGTGGTAGTGATTCAGAATTGCAGTTTAGTCCGAAAAGCCTCAGAAGTTAAATTTTTAGAAAAATAATTTGCCATTCCTTGAAAAAAAAAAAGAGACTATGTGTAGCAGGAACGTGCCTAACACATCAATTTATGGTCGGCACATGCAGCGCCGTAGCTCAAGTGGTTAGTCGCTGGCTTCCCACCGCGGCGGCCCGGGTTCGATCCCGGCTCTGGTCAAGTGGGATTTGTGGTGGACAAAGTGGCGCTGGGGCGAGTTTTCTCCGAGTACTTCGGTTTCCCCTGCCAATTTTCATTCCACCAAATTCTTCATCATCATACTCAGCCGGGGCCGGTACAATAGGCCAATCAGTGGCCGCCGTGCCGAGTGGACCCAGTTGGACTCCACCCCACACTAAGCAAATTAAAATAAAAATAATTTTATGGTCGGCACAAGCCAAACGCCTTAAGATATAGTAGGTTTTTATGTTTATGTAGGTGGTATTTACGACAAGCACAATAAAGGGGGGGGATCGCTTAACTCTGTACGTAACTGCTGCGATAAGATCCAAAATTGGATACAGAGCGTTCATATTTTTAATCATTGCTAAACTCTACAACAGCCAGTCACGTTAACCGAGCGGTCTAAGGCATGTACTGTCTTCGCTCGCTTGGAAACCGGGATCGTGGGTTCGAATCCCACTCAAGGCATGGATGTTTAGTTTGTGTGTGTGCGTTTTTCTGTGTTTGTATACAGCGACGAGCTGATCACCCGCCCAAGGAATCCTACCGAATGTGTAAGATCTAGAAAAACCGAAGTGAACGGAGAAGTTCATGGAGGTTGGCCTAGGCCCACTGGGGCTGTAGTGCCAAGGGCAAAAAAAATTACAATATTTCACATTGATTGCAACAAATCATTTACCTGTTCGGACATTGTTACAGTGCCGCCGAATATCCTGGACGGCAACAGCACGCAGTCATCGGTGGCCATTCGGGAAAACCAGAACATCACGCTCACATGCAAAGCGGACGGCTTCCCGACGCCGAAACTGATGTGGCGTAGAGAGGATGGGCAAGGCATCAACATCGAGCGGCGGAAGAAAGGTGAGTAGCTTTCACCTTGGGTACAGAACATGTAACAGCAAGTAGCACACTTTCAAGAGCCATGCGGTGTACCCAGGATAATTGGAAGTTATTTCGTCGTAGGCGACATGGACGCTTCTATGTGTTACACATCCACCTGACCGTGTTTCATCTTCGTATTCATAGAGCGACTTCTATTGTATTGTCACGTGATGCAGTGACTATAGACGGGATAATAGGATTTACTGCACACATAAAATTCTTTGCTACACTTCACAAATCACTGTAGGACACACTATGTCGTCTAAGTCCGTTATATTCTTCATTAGCCGTTGCTTGGTAACGGCCTTCAACGGCAGACGTTCCCCTTCCTCCCTGTTCCCAAACTATTTCCAGCCTCAGATACCAGCTTCTAACAGCAACAGCTGACAGCGACTGAATCTCACCGGTAATCTCATGAAATGTAATTCTTAACTAGTCCTGCATGTAATATTTAGGACGGACCGAACAGAAAACATAGTTACTCTGTTGCTGTTCAGGGGACGCTTCCAGATAACGGCCGCTATATAGTTGCTTATTTCGAGGTCGTTTCCTAGAAACGGGTCCAAATGTCATAGTATTATGACGTACAAAATAGCCTACATACAATTCAGCTTCTCGACTTAGTTTATCTGCTGTTAAAAGATATATCGGAAATTAAATCGTCGCCATTAAAGCTATGAAATTTCACTGCTTTAAAAGTCTAAATAATTCATTCGTTTGGTAATATACTTTATAAGTAATTAAGTATAAGTACAGAAAATTTGCTCTGCAATTTCATAAAATATTTTTCTTTTTGACGTGGTTACTTATATTCAACGTCTTGAGGTACACACACACATCACCTTCGGAACACAATTTCTACTGACTGGGCATGTGACGAAAACCTTATTCCCGCACTAATTTGATCTGTTTTTAGCCTACTTTCCCGATTTTTGAGAAAATAAAATGAACCTTGTGAGATCACTATTTGCCTGTGGTGTCTTTTATCACCCTATCGTTACATACGCAACGGATCTGTAGGCACGTTACCGCGGCAAAGAATAGACAAACTAAAATAGAAGAACTCTTGGATGTAGTGTTTTATCTGCGTTCCGTGTTGCATCAGATACTCAATATGTAGGGAAAGGAAAGTAAACACTCCGGTGTGGAGGCGGGGTTTGAATACCTCCAAAATAGCCCTGTGTGTCTTAGGAGGCGACGCAAAGGAACACAGTTCCATGGAATATAAGTGGGCCAACTTGTTCCTGAGGGGGTCTCGAATTTGAGGCAGCAAAATGTAGTCACGAGTCCCGCTGACCTGAGAATGACTGCGCTGGCGAGGACCAGTAGCAATTTTATACCACAGACCCATCCTTTCGTCAGAGAGGATATTATGTAAGTGCTATGAAAGCAAGTAATAAGTTAAAAAATTGCTTGTCGCGAGTCTCAAGGGGCCTGTCGCCAAGTCGAACTGATTGGCGGTAAACCGCCAGCCGTAAAGTAACTCTGAAAGTAAACAAATAGTTCTTCCCAGAATTTCTTAAAATTCACGTACTGAAATACGGTATTTGTAACTACTCCAACAGAACTAAGCAACTTTTAAAGGACTGAAATAGAAAATACACATATATCCCACGATAATCTCGTGAAAGAACGTGTCGGTGTCATAATTAATATGAAGTGTGTGAAGCTTGTTTACTTGTTGCCATCACTGTCCCCATGTTTTTCTTATGAGGGAAACAATAGAACCCATGAATATCAGAGCAAAATTAATAATTTCCACAAAATTTTTCTGCAAGGGAACAACTTTTATATTAATTTTTATTTTCCTTCACGCTCCTCTATGAGGAGTAGAAGTGACGAAGGGACATACGGCCGTACATTTGACTATCATGCATATGGCTGCAGATACTAGTTCCGAAATTACATAATAGACGGAGTGGTGATTGAATCTGTGAGTGTTATTGTATCTGAGCCTCACTTATACAGTATCTACACAAGCTCTGTAGAAGAACAGTAGTGTATTCGAAGTTCTGGACGGATTATACAGAACATTTGATAAGGCTCCTTGTATATGTGAGGTGTGAAACAGCTGCGTGGCAAGCGCTAGGATCGATATGAGCTTCTCTGTTTCATACCCACACATACACTAAGGTCTGTAGTTCTCTCGGGAAAGTTATGGACTCATACCATAATCAACAGATCCTGTGCAAAACTGTTTTCGTTGTCCAGAGATCTGAAAAATGAAGACCAATGAATATTCATGTAATATCTGACAACATTTAGGAGGAATGTTTTCCACGTAGGTACGTACGTAACGAACCCGAAGTTCTAATCGCACCCTGTAGACTGACAGAAACTAACTGACGTTAGGAGACGATAGCGTCTCCATCTTCAGAGTAGAAAAATAACCAGGCCAAGCAAGGATCAAGGAGAATGCTATTCTGTGTTGCCCTCTTCATTTGCTTTGCTTACTCTTCAACACTGAAGTTCAGGTAATGTGTTCCTGTAATGCATCAGGAAACTTCTGCCGGTAACAGTTCGTTAACTCACATTTCCGACTGAACACTCCAGCCACACGAAAGTACGAATGACAATCAATAAACAAGTCACAAATGGAAGTAAAACAGCTGTAACGGATGTAAGAGATAGCAGCACAGTCCAGCTTCATGACAAGTCTATGTAGCAGACGCGCATGCAAGTATTCAGAAGTTGGTTTCAGTAGTAAAAATGGCGACCGTGCTTGAGGGTATACTAACGAAGAGCTTAGGCCGCGCCATAGCTCAAGCGGTTAGTCGCTGACTTCCCACCGCGGCGGCCCGGGGTCGATCCCGGGTCTGGTCAAGTGGGATTTGTGGTGGACAAAGTGGCGCTGGGGCAGGGTTTCTCCGAATACTTCGGTTTCCCCTGCCAACCTTCATTCCACCAATTGCTCCACAATCATCCTCACCTATCATCTGGGGCTGGTACAATAGGCCAGAAATGGCCGCAGTACAAGGGACTTAGTCCCACCCCACTAGTATTAAAAAAAAACGAAGAGCAGCGTGTTGTGCGTTTTCTGTGGACAAAAGTACCCAATGCAAAGGATATTCATAAGGAAATATTACCTGTTTACTGTAGGAAGTGCTTGTCGCGTAAAGCCGTTCACATCTGGGTGGCAAAAGTTTCACTGATGACGAAGAGGTTAAAACGGAAGTGCGGAAGTGGCTGATACAAGAGTATCCTTCTATCCTACGGATTTCGACCCACTGGTAAAGCGATAGGTCAAGTGTGTCATTGGTGGAAAATATGTTGAGAAATAAATGTCTTTTTTTTTTACAGTTTGGAATATCATATTTTTTACGTTTTATATGCATTTGTGACTTATTCATTGACCCTCCCTCATACTTCGGGAAAGCTGTGCCACAAGGCCATGTTTATTTATAACTGTATCAGTTAAAGTAGCTCAGTTGAAGAAGGTCGGTTTGTGGTATATGTAAGTCCATTGTAACATTATTTAAGCAAGGTTTTATGGTTGAGCAATGTGGCTGAAGACTAGAAGTGCCTGATGACATTTGAGAGAAACCTCCCTTGTCGATTTTAAACGTCTGTGAAACAGTTTATTGGAAATTTGGGAACGTCTGTCAAGTTTTATTAAGAATGAACTTGGGTCAAAATCCTAGATACCTGCCAAAGTTTGGTGGAAGCCCCTTACATGTATTTTTAAAAATAACGATTTTAATTTATTTCTGTAATTTATGTAGTCAATCTTCCTTAATAGAACTACAAAAGCCGAAACTTCCGGAAAATAAGAGTACCCGAGTTGGGGATCAAAATTCTATGTGTCAGTTTTCTTGAAACCTGTTTTATCGGTCGTACAGATTTCATTTTTGCCCACTATGTAATATACAGGACCATAAACCGAGCAACGACCTATTTCTATACAAAGGCAACTTTTCACATTCAGTCGTATGTGAGAAAACGGAATGTTTTTTAAAAAATTTTTATGAAAACTTAAATTAATTTTCACGTAGAGTTTTATGAATGCATGTAAAATTTAAAAGGGTGTATGTCGCACCATAAATTCCCTGCACAGAACTTAACTCTTCGTATCCCCTTATCTTTGTTATTTTGTTAGTGTGTAAGTCGGACGTTTGGTTTCGTTTAATCAGCGGTGCAAGAAAAGTTGATTACGATGCACCAGTAACAAGAAAACTGAGGGGACATATACGAGAGGCTGAAGTAAATAAATAAATAAATAGTAAATGAAAGGGAGAAATTTAAAATTTCGTAAAATTATGAAATTTCCGATATTTTTGTATTAAACCGAAAAATTTGTTAGGAAATAAGAATTTGTGAAAATCAAACAGCAAAAATAAAATTTTAGTAAATGCCAAAGAACATATACTGGAACATATATTAATAAAAATAAAATATTCATAAATTAATACGAATTTCTGAGATAAATTGATTTTAATATACCTTACAGAGGAAACAGCTGCCCAGACTTATCAATTTCAGCGGTTCTAACGAGATTATATCACTCTCAAACCAGTACTGTTTATGCTTACGCGGACTTGTGTTTGACAGAGACCTTTTCCGCCATCTCTTGTTATTGAAACTAACCATTTACAGACACCCCGAAAATTAATGTTTTTTGTTTTTTTCTAATATAAATCAAAAGCTTGCTGGCGAAACCGTTTCCATGAAAAGGTTTAAAACAATGAAGAGCAACGACAGGTTCCGAAAACGGTTCTGTGTTCAGATTTAACCGAGAAAGGGATTGCCTTTAGGACACTGGTTTCCGAATCCTATTTAGAATGACTTTCTGGTATCAAATAAAGATGCAGCCTGGGATATTGTCTACCTCTGTTTACGGGATATTTAAATTTTAAAGTAGCTGTGTTCCCGTAGCTACTCTGCATGCAAAGTGGTGCTGCATGCGCAATGAAGCATTGTGTTGCCCGAGGGATGATGTTAACACGGAGATATTATACCTCGAAAGTACAGCAGCTGAGAAC